CTAACAGTCCCTGCCGAGGGGCGACGGTGATTAGAAAAATGAAATGAATTTTTTATTTAAAGTAAATTTCTAAAATTTTTGTGGTCGGACTGTGTGTAGTATGCAAAAATTTCATGTTCTTAGATGATTTTTCGACAGATTTTTGACCCAAAACTTCTTATCTTTATAAATCAGTGGTATGGAGCTTATATGATATACTCCTCAGATTTCTACGATTTTCGATGGCAATTTTTATTTATATATAAAAATGTAGAATACCATATTTTATACTTTAACATGCTTTCTCGACGGATTTTGACCCAAAACCTCATATATCTAAAAATCGGTGCTATAATTTTAAAGTCGTTCGAGCTCGATAGTTTTCAGCACTAATTAACACATTTTGCTATTTTTTTTTGTGAATTAAAATTCAAATACAAAAAATCGGTCGAAAATAGCTATAGTGCTCCGATCTGGCCGACAAATGATCGTTTAAATGTATCTTTACATCTGTGCCGCAATCTTGCTTGAAAAGTCTCAGAAACTGAGGCTACATTTGCGTACAAATGGACGGACTGTCGGATATGTCTAAACCAACTCAACTCCTCATTCTGACGCGGTCGGTATAAATTTTGAACTCTTTTTCTTTCTAATACTTACACACTTGTTCCATTTCATGTATGGTATAAAAAGATAGATGGATGATCGGAGATTTAAGAAATTATACCTACATGGTTACAGGTGCTGAATTAAACGACTCCTAATCTTTATATATGACGGCAGCTTCACTGTCGAAAAGTATCATAACTGATTGTCCTGCTACTGTGAATTGAAGCAACTACTTGGCGGCTTCCTTGATTGCAAAGAGTTCTGCTTGGAAGACGCTGCAGTGGTCTGTTAGTCTCAATCTCATATTTATTAAGAGCAACGGAGAGCCGATTTCACAGCTCACCTTTTCATCGAGCTCTGATCCGTCTGTAAAGATGGCTGTGGCTCACTGATCGAAGGCGTTTATGATTCCCATTCAATTTTATTTGAGCCTCTGCTGACGAAAAGATTGTTGAAGCACGTACTGGGAGTGGTGTAATCCAGCTTCTTGGGTATTTCTGCAAGTGACAATATTTTGGCGTACTCTATACTAAAGTTCTTCCCAGGTTGAGTTGCATTCAATGATATTGCTCGCTTGTAATTTGCTGTACAGGTCTAGAGGAATGAAATTGAGAGGAGTTATCAGTGCTTAGAAGGGAGTTGAAGGGCAGTGCTTTTGTTACTAGCCAGCCGTTAAGCTTTCTCTAGTTTGCTCCCGAAAGTAATTTCCCCAAATTCTGGTCGAATACAATGAGGCCGTAAAGCAGAATTGGTCTAACTACCGATGTATAAATCCAGTACACGATATTCGGTCTTAGATGCCACCGCTTCACTTTTCCATGCGGGATAAAACACCTCTCTGAAAGGGGTCTTTTGTGTAGCTGGTGATAGTATTTCTTAGAAGAGACTCAACAAGATTCAGTATGGGCTCATGGAGACCGATTTCGCGAAGAGTATTGCATTGCGGATTCGGAAAGAATTTTGTTAAAAGCTTCGTCCTTGGCGAGGAAGATATCAAGCGTGTAATACTTCAAGTAAAGCGCAGTTTCGGTGCAACCGACTAAATCTTGTAGTGCTGTATCGACAGACTTGCCCTTAGAGTAAGCGTGCTGCTTCCGCGAGGGACTGTCTGGGGGTAGATTGAGGCGTATATAGCTGTCGAGCAGCATTCCAAAGATTTTTGAGAGGAAAGAGGCCTGGGTGGCCCTGACTCTTTTTGGGATAAATTTGTAATTTTAAAAGAGGTGCAGGTTTAAGATGTACTCAGCTTTCTCTAGAAGTAAAAGTATAAAAACTTTCATATACAAAAATTCCAACATGGAAAACTAAATCTTTTTTTAGCTTTATTAAAGTTGACTCCCATGAAAATTTTTGAGACAAACGCCATTTTTAATATATTTTTATATATCTGTATTTGGTATTAATATTGTCTATAGTTTTTGTGTACATCTTTCTTTTGCATTATTTATCAAATTCAGAACAGGTTTTACATAATATCTAAAACTATGAATACATTAATTTATTTAAGTAATGAAATTATTTGCTATTTACATTATAAGTTATTATTTTTTATATTTAAATTTTGTCATATTTCCTTAAATACTTACACATTACTTATGAATACACACTTAAGTGTATTTTCATTTTTTTATTAACTAATTCACTGCATTTTCCGAATCTGTTATTGACTCGCTTCTCAACGAGACAATTTTAAGAATGAATATGTATTATTATAGAGGTATACAAGGGACTGCCAACGATGTTCTTGCTATACAAAGTTATTTGAGTTTTACATAAAATTATTAAAACACGCTTTAAAGTATAAATCTTAAATTAATTTTTTACATTTCAGTTAAAAAGATGTAAGTAAACCCAAAAACTTTTTAAAGCAATAAGAACAACATATGATGTATGGAAATATTGTAGTTTGAACTTAAGGGGGGAAGCTGGTCTAGAATTTTGAAAAAATCGAAAAAAAAAAATGTTTGTCTTAGGGTCTTAGAAATAACATACCAAAAGATGGATGCCGGCAAAAATGTCTAAATACCCAAAATTTTTCATTTGACGGCAGTGCCTCGCAGGTATGCAACGAGTGACCTACAACTTTAAATGCGTTTTTCTCGAAATCACTTTTTTTCAACTGGCCGAAGACATATCTCGAACAAATCTTCATCGATTCTTACGAAATTTTGACATTCGAAATACCGTTCTCCGAAGATGTACGTAGGATTTTTTTTATTATTGTACATTTTGTATCGTTTTTTATAGTGAAAATTGTAAATATTTGTGCAAACGTGCAACATTTCGCGAAAAAACAAAATATCGAAAAAATTCTACGTACGTCTTGCTGTTGTTCTGTAGAAACTAAAAAAAAATTATAATTTTTTGATCCAGGACAAAAATTAAGGAGTTTACATCTTTACCACTCAGCGGGCACATGTAATACTTATGTATGTATGTATGTACATAACGGATTGAAGCAATCATCTTTTCTAGCAAAATGTTTTTTGGTTTTAGTTTGAAATTTTTATTTTTGAATACATGGCCTAAACTTTTCCATGTCATTATATAGGACAGCGATTAGAAGTTTCGAATTTTTGAAAATCACCATAATTTTAGAAGCATAGTAGGAACGCCGTTATATTATTTTCCATGTGAAAAATATATTTTCTTATGTAAAAAGTGACCATTTTGGAACATGAGATACAAAATAATTAATGAAGTTCATAAAGTTTGGATTTAAAGTGCAAATATGGGTAACGAATATTGACGCCCAATTAAATTTAGTTATTCTCAAAATGTCGATTAGTAATAAGTTGATGGAATTCGCAGGGTTATCCATTCACCGGTTCCAGAAGTAAACGTTGGTATGTAATGTATTATTATTTATTAAATTTTTTTTCATGAAATTCTTTTTTTTAATATAAAGCTTTAATCTTGGCATTTCGAATTTTCGGAAACGGTTCAAAAAAAGTCGGTTATCATAAGACCACAACTCGCCAAAGTAAAATCACATCTCCAGACCAAAGAGCGGATCAGATAATCTAATTTTTTATTTATTTATTTGAGGATTCTCGGAGTCTCGAAACGAAAACATTGCTTATTTACGCATTCTCCGAGTGAGAAATGTACCTAGTCGCTGAAATAAATATTGTTCGGAAAAACACTGTCCATTGCTTGCTGTTCAAGCACCCAACTATTGTTTGTCCAGCTCAAAATGTGCCATACGAAAGTCCCAGCTCTTTATATTGTTGAAAAATAGAAGATCGGTTCTTCGGCTACACTTTTACTTGCAATAGCGATTCTGGATCGTTCAATCTTTACCAAAACGATAATACACAGGCCTTAGAATATCTTTAACCTATCAAATTTTCTTAACAAATTAGGAATTGCTTGAGTCGCTGGGGATGTGGATCATAATGTGCATCTTAAGCTCAGTTAAGTTTGACCGATGTTAAAATGAAGCTTCGTATTTTTGGAGCCACGAAAAGGATAACCCTATACAAAAGTTTAGCATTTCACTAAATATGATTTTATGCAATGAAAAGTGTTATGGTGATTACACTAATTAAAAAAATAAAAATTTAAATTTTATAATTAAAAAATATTAATTTTAAAAGTAATTTAATTGAAGAAATTCACTGTGGCAACAACAAAGGTTTGTAGAGACAATAAGTTGACATTGCGCAACCGTCAAATAACCATTGTAGCATTAGTGTTCGAAGCTTTATGGGAATAAATTTCGATTGTAGTTGATAATGACACTGCAAGAATGGGCTGGTGGGTTCACCAATACACTCACACGATTTCGGGCAGCTCTAACACATAAGCAAATTGTTTTGTTTATCTTTCTCTTCTGAGTACATATGAACTGAAAAAGAATGCCGTTGAACGGATTATTCGATTTTCTTTGTTCTTATTTTCGAGTAGATCGCCATTTTTTGATCGTTTTCTCTGCAGCAGATAGAAGTGAAAAATATGTGATGAGGATCCATTGCAAGCTGTGCTAATAATAAATTGCCAGTTAATTAAGTACTTCATTTTTTATTACTTTTTCACATGTTTTTATTTAAGGGCGCAGCATATTGTACCGAAAATTCAGCGGACGGACGCTTCTCACTTTGTAGCAACAGCAGATTTAAAAATACTCAATAAATCTGCATATGCGATTATGCTTACAATATTTTGCAGATTTTTAAAAATGAATTTATTGCTGTATTATTATTTCTTTGTATGCTATATGAACTATGTAAATGACCTATGTAAAGTAAATACTGATCTTCAATAATGTTTGCATGTATGTATATATGTATGCAGAGAAAATTTTTGTCAGAGCAGATTTCCTTCGCCATCAATGGTGTCGCTCAGCTGTGTTCTGTTTACCAGACAAGAATGAGGGAAATTCACAAGGAAACGAAGAGAGAATGACGTACACGTATACATATGTAAACATGACATTTGTCATTTCGACCTTAAGAAAGTGATAGGAAAATCGTTCTGCGAGATGGCGGCATATTGCACCATGCATTCCTGATATATGTTGGCTCAAATGATCGGAAACATTCTTGCAGGGGAGTTAATTTCTATAACGAGGCTTCAATCATCATTGTGTTCATTATATTTTTTGTGTCATACAACTAATTTCATAATTCAACGGAAACTATTCCAAACACAATATACTATATAAATAACTTATTAACTTTACAAGCAATTAAGAGTTATTATTATTTAAATAACAATAACATTATCTAAATAAATATTAGGAATTTAGGTAACTTTTGTATAACCACTTTAGTACAAATGGGCAACTGATTTCTTACTTCTTTTTGCTATTGGCTCCTAAAATATTAAATTGTACAAAAAACATATATATTCAACATCCATTATGAAAACAAATAATAACCCTAACCCGAATGTCTAACCCATACCCTTAACTTCTACAGCGTGGTCAGATCATAGTCCTGTTTAATATGCTGCAGATTCGGCATCATATCCAGTTGCTGTGTTGGTGGCGGTAGTGTTGCATGTGTATGTTGAGCGGCGGGAAGTAGGTTCGGATGCATTTGATTATTGTTCGTATTGGATGTAGACTGCAAACTGCCTGATACACCATTAATACCACCATTCGCATGATTATTTGGCATTTGTTGCTGTTGTTGAGATCCATTGTAATTGCCATTACCGTGGTTGTTGTTGTTATTGCATGGATGCTGGGAATGTGTACCGCCGGAAAGCAAATTAGTTGCATCATTCGGTACAGCCATGTAGGTCGCATTTCCCAGCGAGGAGTTGACGTCACCAATACTTTCTAAGCTATCCGATCGTAAGCACTGCGGGAATTAAATTAAAGCAGTAAAATGTTAAATACATATATATTATTTTTTCAATACAGTTATATTTCAAGTTCTTTAAATACAATGCTGCTAAAAGCTTAAAGCTAAATTTTTCAAAAGTATAACTAAAGAAGTTTGTAGTTTTCTATAAAATACATAGACAGGAGATTTTTGAAAAAGCAGTATTGTAATAGCAGGTGTAGTGAAGGGGCTACATAGGTATTGAAATTTCAAAAAATTCATTTTTTCGATAATTTTTTGTATGAAAGTACAAAGTTTCACGAATATTTTCCCCAAGTTTCAAGTCGATCGAGACGAAACTGTAGAATTTAGAGATTTTTATAACCCGCCGTCTTTGTCATGACTTGACCGATGGCGAAACTTTAAACGCGTTTATCGAAATCGGTAGTCAAAACTTTCTCAACGACTATTGAAGCGATCTAGTTCAAATTTTCCACACTTTTTTTAAGCATGTTTTTGTAATCCCTGAATGAAGGATTTATTTTATCTTTGATTTCAACTCATTTTACAAGCCAATATGTGGCCTAATTTCATGCAAAAAGTTACGTTTTAAGTAAAAAACGCTACAAAATATTCAATTTTTATTTTTTTAATTTTTCTTCGTTCAGGGGCAAGAAAAATTCACCTACTTTAAGAAAAAATTTGGTGTTTTTATTTCAGAAATAAATTGAAAAAGTTATCATGACTACCGCGAAAGCTCTTTCTTGTGGACGATCTACTTCACGACACTGCCAGCGCCTTAACTTATACTATTTTTCATTAAAATTTTCATTAAATGTTGCCCACCATATTGTACTTTTATATGTAAACAATACAAATTGTATGCTTTGTCTAGTATCTTTTAAAAAAATTAGAGAAAATAAGCTTTTTAACGAAATTGAGAGAGTGAAATGTCTTACTCTCCCAAAGTAAGAGATCTACTGAGTTTTCAACGTTTTCAGTAAAAATTAGCCGGCAAAATGTACACAGCTGTTAATTTCGATTAAGATAGTAAATTTGAATACGTTCATGTATACAATTTATTTTGTCTGTTTTTTAAGTTGATTTTTTATTTATTGTATTTCTATAATGTTGAAATTCTGCATCCTTTATAGCCGTCCAACGATAATGATACCCAAATTTTTTTTGCCAATAGTTCTCTAGTAAGACAAAGATTTATGAAAAACTTGCTTTGCAACAATTTATCGTTTAGACTTTCGGGAAGGATGACTTAGATATGAAAATCAGTTTAAAATTATTTTTTCAAGGAATCCAGTCATATTATCTCATCGTTATTATAGAATTTATTCGATTCTGTTGAAATAGAAACCAAGCGAGAACTTTATTTTTCTTTCTAAATGCTACTAATATTTCGCTTTGTGCATCGTCATCGCTACTGGAAGCTTAATAATGCATTGTCGTCGCTGTAATCTTTGCAACAACTTTTTAGTAAATATGTGAGATTACTATTTATATTTTTTGAACTGTCTAATTTTTTGTTTCACTTTTATTTAAGAATAAGAATAATATTTTCTCCATTTTAATTAAACATTTGATATGTAATATATCTTTTTTCATTTCTGTTTGTTTTTGTGTCTGAAATTTCAAAGCTGGAAAAGAATGTTAAATCAAGCGCTGACAAAAAAGAAAAGCATTGTATAACGCTATGGGTCCGATACTGTAAACGAACGTGTAGCACAAAAGTGGTTTACTAGGTTCCGTTCCGGTAATTTCGATGTCAAAGATGTACCAGCTTTTGCTGTGTGTTTGGTAGGATTAGCAAGGAATCATCTACTACGAGCTACCCCCTATGACCAAACGCTTAATTCGTCTTTCTACTGCCAACAACTAGACCGCTTGAAGGCAGCACTGATCCTGAATAGGCCATCTTTGTTCCATCAGGACAACGCCAGGCCACACACGTCTTTGGTGACACGCCAGTAGCTCCAGAAGCTCGGATGAGAGGTCCTAATGCACCCACCTTATAGTCTAGACTTGACACCAAGTGATTACCATATTTTCGTGTCCATGGCGAACGAGCTTAATGGTGAGAAGTTGGCCTCAAAAGAAGGCTATGAAAATAGACTCTCCGAGTTTTTTGCCAATAGGGACGCAGCCTTCTACGAGAGTGGTATAATAAAGTTGTCATCTCGTTGGCAACAAGTTTACGAACAAAACGGCGCATATTTGAAGAACGAACTTTTTACTTGACCCAATATTTTAAATCAAGCGCTGACAACACTGCTCGGTTAACTTGACAGAAAAGAAAAGCATTGCATAACGCTCATGGGCATGGAATGGTATAAATATTTACTTTCATCCGAACTGAACGTGATAGGCCTCTAAAAATTTACACCGATATGTTCAATCTTATCTTGTTTGTTTTTCTATCCCTTTGGCGGAAACTAGTCCGAAGTTTTTTTAAATTTTCGAAAAAAAATGTGGTATGTAATACACTTATATTTAATCATCGACCCAGCAAGTTGCGGAAAATGATCAGGTCTTAAAAAAGAAAGTGAAATTTGGCAGTTCGCTTGGACATAAAGGATGAAACTGAAACTAATCAAACTAACTTGGACAACTATTGTATAACTCCGAAACAATGAATTGTTAAAAAACGTGTTTTTTCATAAAGTTCTATTTGCCCTAGGAGCTTGTAATAAGGACTTGAAATTTCGATTAGTAAACATCGATTGTTGGCTCACAACCGAATTGCTATTATTTTCAATTTGATTAATATTTTTTTCTTCAAATTGCCTTTAATATTCCTGTTCTATTCGAAATGACTTCAACTTTACCTCATTAATAACGGGAGGTGGTTGTGGTTGTTGTGAACTGTTTTGCTGTAATTGTTGTTGTTGCTGTTGTGCCTGTTTCTTCGCGCTGACTCTTTTTGGTTTCTTTGGCGCTAACGGTGTAGGATTACCATTTGCATCGACAGTCTTCTTTCGAACATTCTTCGTGTTTGGCAGCTTATTATCTTTTTTCCATTTCATACGTCGGTTTTGAAACCAGATTTTTATTTGTCGCTCTGACAACACCAACGTGTGGGCGATTTCGATGCGTCTTCGTCGTGTTAGATAACGATTGTAGTGGAACTCCTTTTCCAATTCGAGTATCTGGTGGCGAGTGTAGGCAGTGCGTTGACGCTTCGGTTCCATACCGGGTTGGTAAGAACCATTAGCTAAAAAAGAGATAAATATACTATACATTATAATAATTTGTAAAAAACAAAAGCTATATTTCTTGTATTGACATTTTTGAGTAAAAAAAAAAATAAATTGTTTATCAGCATGAGGTGTGTGAGCATATAAATAATTTTGCAAATTTAACGTTTAGTTTTTTTAATTATATTTTTTTTTGCTCAACTGAACCAGCAACGTTATTTTTTTGTTGGCAAAGTTAAAACTTCAAGCCATCAAATTAAAGTGACAGCTAATCGCAACGTTATGCTTCCCTCAGCCGCCCTCCTCTCGTCTTAAGAGGTAGTGACTGCCGAATTCTTTGTGGTGTGAGAAATGTTCTTTCATTTAATCAAACTTCAGCGTAACGCGTTCTGACTGCTTAACTTTAGTGAAAATTTTTCATACAACTTTTTAGTAAATGGTCACAGTTGTACAATCACTCGCAAAAGGTGTGGCAACTGATGCGTCGGCAACAGTCACTGTTACTTTTAAGGGTCAAAAGGCCAGTGTAGAGCAAGTTGTTACGCGACAGGGCAATTAATCAACATCAGAAATGTGAAGTGCGCGAATAAGAGACGGACAACATCAACTGATAACTAGGTGTGTAACTTAAAATTGAGTTTTCCTCAAGGGCAAGCATAAGCCGTTATTTACGAAGGAAGATCAACCCTTTTTTCAATTGCGCAGCTAAAGAATATTTAGTAAGTTTATAGGAATATACAGCACCTGCTGCCGGGCACAACAACAAAAGTTTCTCGGGCGATAAGAAGTTTATGTGGAAAAACGTTCCGTTATAAACAATTGAGATGTTCAAACTAAAAAATGAACGTCAATAAATAATAAAATAAATTTCGCAGTATTGCTACTGAAAATTTAATAGCATTTATCCAAAAATTTTTCACTTTTTCAAAAGCATTTAAACGATGAACATTAGAAATAAAGCGGTAATTGATTGGTTTTACAATCCGATAAGCAATTTACTTGAAAACTTTATTTTTGTTTAAAAGATATGTAGGTAAATAACACGTAAAGACTATGCCGGGTAAGTGATATAGATAAATACCAAATACAATCTATAGAGCTGGGTTGTTGATTAATAATATTTTAATTTGTTCAACTTCACAAAACTCAGAATGAGTAAATTATGCGCACCGAATATGAGTTGCAGTCAACGCACAATGGGGTAAAATGTGCCGATTTTGGAGATTAATTCCAAAATCAGATTTCAAGGTACAAGCACCAAACGAAAGTAGATAAAATCCTACATCACTAGTTGAACAAATATTTGAAAATTACAATTTTCATTGGTTTCGTGGGCACACAGTGATATTAGCGATTTTTTTTCTATTTTTCAAAGCTATTTATTTTTTTTAACTGGGAAAATCTAGGAAAAATTGTAATTTAGGCAATTTATAATTTATTCAGGTAATTTAGTAAATTTAAAGTGATTTCATTTGCTTGTTACGTGTCTCTAAAAATTTTATTTTTTTTTTTGCGCGAAAACCTTAAAATAGGGGCGTTTCGACCTCATATAGTTGTGAGTTTAGCGAGGTAAAGTAAACCTTGTTCGATTGTATTTGTAGTTTTTTATGGTAAAAAAGTAAGGTGAATTTGTTCATAAAATTCAAATCTTTGGGGATTCTTCTACATCGATTTCGTCGTCTTCAAAATAGTCCCCAGCCGATGCTAAGTACATTGCAAAGGTTTTTTCAATTATCGAAACGTGTCAATTTGTTACGTTCTGGTATGGTCTTCAGAGAGCGCGCCGATTCACGTTTAGACTCCTCAATCGATTCAAAACGGTGTCCACGGAGTGGTCTCTTGATTTTTGGAAGAGCCAGGAGTTACACAGTGTTAAGTCCGACGGAATTTTTAGTGAAATGGTCACGAGGAATGAATGATGTGTGCATTATCGTGATGCAAAAACCAAGAAATTTCGGCCCATATTTTTGGTCTTTTCTTGCGAATTGCTTCACGCAAACGAAGCATAACGCTTAAATAATATTCCTTATTTACCGTTTGACCGGGCGGAAGGAACTCATAGTGCATCACACAACATAAATCGAGAAAAGCAGTCAACATGAGTCAAAATGAGCTTGATTTTTGAGCGACTTTGACGTGATTTTTTCGGTATTGCCTCATCTTTAGCACGATATTCGCTTGATTGGTCGGTGGTTCCCGGGTCGTAGACATAGATCCATGTCTGATCTCCTGTTATTATGAGCTTCAGCATGTCCTATTAGCCAAAAAGCATGGTTTCACACACATCAACGCGACGACTTTTTTCCATGACATTGAGTGTTTATGGAACCAAACGAGATTTGACGTTTTGTAAGCCCGAATAGTCTTTCGAAATTGATTTCACAGATCCTTTTGATGTTCCAACTATATCAGTAAGGTCTCTAACAGTTTTGAGCACTAATTCGTCCCCAGCGCTCTAAGTCATCAAGACGTTTCCGAACCTCTTTGAAGTCTTTGTACCACTTGTACACGTTCTTCTGCGACATAGTTGAGTCCCCAAAGGCTTTCTGTAGCATTCTCAACATTTCAGCAGCCTAAAAATCGTGCCGCAAACAAAATTTGATCACACTTCTTTGTTCAATTAAATCAGACATTATTAAAATCGTCTAAGGCAGTTTTAGCCGTTTAGTAAACATAAGCGTAACTAAAATACTAATGATGGCATTGACATGAAATTTGGCGTAGATATGACAGTGCTTCTAGCATGAAAATAGAAGAATTAACCCAAAATATTAAGCGCGTGAAGCTCAAATTAAGAATTCACCATACTTTTCGCCCACAGTAGTATGAATTTCTTTATGCAAACTGTCTGGTCAAACATTTATACACGAGTTTCTTAAAGCAGAACAAGAAAAAATACGGTAATTGCAAAATAAACAAAAGAGTTTGTATATAAATTAAATTTTATCTTTGGCTGATGGTAAAGTATGCAACGCATTAACAGAAACAAAAATCTTACGCAAAACAAAAATGTTATTTATGTGGATCTAGCTGGAAAGATTTTAATCAAATTGATGAAATGGTGAAGAAAGATTTTAACGAAAATTGACAATTTGGTTTTCGATACTTCAGGTTTGGATTGGGTTCTTTGAATGTCTGCTCCACTTATCGTATAAATTGTGCATAAAAAAGTGGCAAACTCAAACAGTAAGCGAGAAACTATTAGTTTCGGAAAATAAAGCGCGCATTCAAAAATAATTAAAGGATAAAATTGGTCTGATTGCCGACCAACCGAAGCCTGGCTTTTTCTAATGATGACAATACTTCCAGGTGTATCCTTCAAAATCCCGAGCTGTCAGCAGCAATTACAGCAATTACTCGTAGTTGTTTCTAGTGGGCACGATATTGACGTACAGAAATTCCGTGACAACGCTTTAAATGCAGAAAAATATTGCGTTAAATGTTATCGTTAGTATAACATACTCCCAACACTTCAAAAATATTTCATCCGTTTACCAGAGATAATATTCTACGCCCTGTTAACAATCGAACAATTATTAGAAGAAGCTCGAAATAAAGAGAAGATTTTTCTCGCAAATGCAGCAGCAAAAAAGCAAATGAAGACATATTCAGCAGTCTTTTAAACAGTTCTGACCCCGTTACATAACAAGAAGAAAATTACCACCAAGAAAAGTGCAGAATTCACTTTTTTTATGATTTAAAAAACATCATTAAAATAAATAATTAAAGAAAATAATAACTTTTCCGTAACTCGAAGACTTGTGGGAATTAATTTCCATTTTTAGCACCATTTACCCCACTGTGCAACGTTAGAAATTAAGTGCCAAATCTCCCCTCGGAGCGGGTAATCGAAGAGCTGTCGACTAGGAATTTTTGTAAAACTAATACTTTATATAAAAGATATTATGTGTTATCAATATAAAGGATGATTTTGTAAGAGCTATAGGAAAACTTTATTAGAATCAATAGTACGGTCCATTTAATTTAATGTTTGAAGATTATTTGATGCAAATGTTGGCCGTTACTGCCCCTCAAATGGTCCATCCGTTTAATCCAATTTCGGTTGTCCTCCAATGCGTCAATTGAAGCGGGCTTGTCTGCTTTAGACATCTAGGCTGCCAATTGACCAGTCCCGAACGTAAAATAAAATGCTCACTGAACTCGCCCGTTGTTACGCTGCTGTGTGGCATGTAGCGCCGTCTTGTTGAAACCACGATTCGCATCATCCTATAAACCGCACCAAACTGTGACGTTTTTTGGATACATTGACAGCTCCTGCAGTGCTTTCGGCTAATCTTCACTCCAACATCGACAATTCTGCTAATTTACGTACCCATTAAGAAAAGAATTAATTTTTTTTTAACTTTCTACAATTCAATTTGCAAGTTATTTGTTGTGCGTTGTTCGTTTGTAAGACGATTTATGGTTAAATTATAGATCAAACTGAAAATGCTTGACAGTGATACAAAAACCGAAACCAGTGTTGCCAAAAGGATAATAGCTAAAAATCACCCTTCATATAAAAAGTTTTGGCCTAAAGAAGTGCCGGATCAATCCACAACCCCAAATCCATACTTAAAGTCTATGCTGGTGAAATTTCGGGCAAATTCTAGTTTATATTTAAAAGAAAGTTAATGCATATAGGTGATTCACCACATAACATTTACAAGTTCCAAAAATTTATACATATGTAGATCCTTCTTATCAACGATCTATAGTATAATGCCGTCTTGCTTTAATTAACAACAGCGTATCATCCACTCAACAGTGCAATACAGGCAATTCTTGGCGACGGACGATGACCCATAATAGTCCTGCCAAGCTGCTTGAGCAAATTGCACTGTCACTGTCTCAATTTCTTGAGGAGCCGGAGAGTGTTGATTGCATGCTTATTGTGGCAGCAAAAAAGAGCCAATTTATTAAACTGCCATATCATTGAGATGATTCAACTCATATAACAAATGATATATGTATATGTATATACGTATACATAAATATAATATATAACATACAAATTTAATGTATTCTTA